AATATACCTTCACAGAGTTTTAGAATTGAAGCATTACTTGACGATGAGTTTCATTTTCAATAATTCTTACTTTGACAACCCCTATTGAATTGACTCTCTTATTCACGTTGTTGCTAGCCAGTTAAAAGTTGGTACAATATAATGTGTTGAATGACATGTGGAGATAAGAAGCTAAGGTATGATTATCATATACGAAGTATATGAAACCGATCTATATATCTATATCTATATATATATATATATATATATATATATATATATATATATATATATATATAGGGAACTCTTCCAGTAAGGAATACCTTACCGGAGCCGCTATGCGACCTCCACGTTTTGAGGGCCTTCCCGGTGGAATTTTTCGATGAAATATTTTGAGCATGTTCTTCATCAAGTCTAATACATCCATACCAAATTTCAGCAAAACATTCAATCGAGAAGGCAATCAAATGATTTTTGAAAGATAACTGCACCCTTTATATACATATAAAACACAGTTATCTTCCAAAAATCGTTTGACTGCCTTCCCGATTGAAGTTTTTGCTGAAATTTGGTATGAATGTACTAGACTTGATGAAAGAACATGCTCAAAAAATTTCATCAAAAAATTTCACCGGGAAGGCCCTCAGAACGTGGAGGCCGCACGGCGGCTCCGGTAAGGTATATACCTTACCGGAAGTTTTTCCTATATATATATATATATATATATACGGGTGAGTTCAAGTGAAAAGTAGTCTTCCCATGAAAAGCGAGAACAAATCTTGGCCTTCCATCACTTGAAAATGGATGGATTAGATGAACTTTAAACACAAGAGATGATTTCAAAAAATGTGCAAACGTTTATACTATAAAGTGGATAGTAACTGATTAAAAGTGCACTCGTGCATGTAAAAAAAGATTGTCAAAATTTTCCAGCTTGTGCATTTTTTTATTGTGTACCGTATTGCACTTTTGTGCTCTACATATGCACTTTTTGACTATTCTGATGCACATTTGTCACAAAATTTTCAATAAAAGTTCTTCATAATTACAAAAATGCCACCGCGTTTCTAACTTAAAATTTGATCTCTTCCATCCATTTTTTCACATCAATGGCCAAGATTAGTTCTTATTTTTCACCTAGGATGTACTTTTTATTTGATCCAAACTCTCTCTCTCTCTATATATATATATATATATGTGTATATATATATATATATATATATATATATATTAAAACGGAATAGTCTTAGGGAGAATTGGGCGGTAAGTGTGAACACAATAGATAGCAGCATGCCTGCTGAACATTAATTAAAAAAAGGTAGATTCTATGGTACCCATAAGGTACCATACCTTTGTCCACATGGACCAATGAGAATGTTGCAGTTGAATTATTTAAATCTAACTTAAAAATGATAAAGTGATGTGGTCCAATCAAATGAATGATAGGTACGGTATCTCGTTTTTTAAAAGGGTACCGGAGTTGTCATCATAAAAAAATTAGAGTAAAAGAAAACAAACAGTACTGCATTTCATAAACTTCGTATATCGTAGTTTTTGTCAGTTCCAATGCATGCATAACGCATGAGTTCCTCCGCATTTGAAAGAAGACGCATGCTTTATCGATTTTGAAATATAAAAGAAAAGAAAAGAGAATTTACCCAAAATAGGACTAAAAAGGTTTGGAAATTCCAAAATAGGACTGACATGTTTTTATTTCCAAAATAGGACTAATTACTGCCATGTTTTGGCAGTACCGGACTTCAAACATGGCAGTATTTTCCAAACTTGGCAGTAATTACTCCTATTTTGGGAATAAAAAACATGACAGTCCTACTTTGGAATTTTCAAACTTTTTCAGTCCTATTTTAGGAACTTTTCCCAAAAGAAAACTTGAAATATAAACGGTTGAAATCTAAAGTGTAGAGATCGAGGAGCTTCAATTCATTGCAAAGTCTCGGGTGACTTTTGGATTACCCGATAACCATTTATAGAGAGTTGTTTGTCAGCATGCACAAACACTGCCAATTCAAGACACCAACTAGGCAACCAACCAAACCAAGCGAATGAGAAAATTTGAAAAGTGAATGTCAAGCTATTCTTTCTTTCGTTGGTTTCATAGTATATGAATCTATGTTGTAAAAACCGGACCGGAGAGTGACCCGGCCACATGACTGGGTCACGGGTCAACCCGGACCCGGTGGGTCAAACCGGTCAACGCCGGGAAACCGGTCAATGATTATACGTCTATATATTAATAGTAAACATATAATTATATATAAAATTATAATAAAAATTAGTTGTTATTCATAATAATCAACTAACAATACAACTTATTAAGCATTTAATACACTCTTATAATATTTCAATGTATATTTTGATCTTATAAAAATATATAATGATATTTTTATTTTTATTGTACATCTATATTATAATTGGCATGATGTTCATTCTTAAATAAATATATAAATATATTACGTAGTTTTTCTTTTTAAGGTACTGAAATTGCAATTTTATTGGTATAAAAAATGCATTAAAAATAAAAAAGAAATTACTTTTTTTTATAAAAACGCCCAAAAACTGGGTTTTACCGGGTTTTTCGGGTTTCTTAGGTCCGGGTCTTGACCGGGTTTTCCCGGGTCAGCCGAGTTTTTCCGGTTTTTGACCATTTCCGGGTTTTGAAAAAACCGAACCGGTTTTTTGTCCGGGTTCCGGGTCAACCCGGCCGGGTCGGGTCGGTTTTTTAAACATAGATATGAATAGCATTACAGTGATTACTAAATATATACTTTCGTGATATGGGTGCAGGAATGAGAAGTCTGTGACGGGTTGCTTGGCGGGTTCGTGCAATGGCAACCCCCGAGGGTGTTCTGTAGTACACCTATGTGCATGCGGGCATACCATATACTTCGATTTTTTGCGGCTTGGGTGTTCTTATTGTGCATGTGCAACATTATTGTGGTGGATAAAGTGATCTTGGGTTGGACGAGAGTGAATATGGGTTTGCTTTTTTCGTATTGCACAAAGTGCGGCTTTTGAGGTTATCGCGTGTAAAAAAGTTAGCCAGCAAGAGTTGTGATTTCATCTAATAGTCAAAGAGTGTTGGAGTATACTTATTAAGTAAAACATTGCATGCTTTCTAGCTTATGCTTTGATAACTTCAGCTAGACCAAAGAAACATCTACTAGGATAGTGTACCGATCGATCTGTCCGGAGGAAAAGATAAAATGTTTTGATCAATTTTAGCTATCATTATTGGTAGTTTTTTTAAAACACCTAAGAGAGATGCATGCAATTGGGTTGAAGCCATGTTGTAATTCAGTGGCTCCATGTCGGGTGGGACTGTGGGAGTCATTTTTTAAAATTATTTGGGTAAATAATTGAGTGGCTCCATGTTGTAAATTAATGAATTCGTAGGTTTTATTAAAAAAACAAACTTCATATCAATAGTTCCGTTACAAAATATTTACGACAATATTGAAAAATATTGACAATGGAAAATTATTTAGGACAAATTATCGAAAGGCATTTCAGTTCCAGTTGAGATAGGCTTTACAAATTACGAGGTATAATTCGGTAGCTCCATGTAGTATATGGTACGGAGTATTTTTTTTTTACATAACCAAACATTTAGGAGAGTATTAAGTAGCAACCGTGGGTATGCGCCCTGTAGTTAAATTTTTGAAAGATTAGTTATTAAATTTTCCCCAGTTTGTGGGTTGTAATGGTGTGCACTCTTTTGATCAATCAATTGAGTTAGGGGTGAGTAAATAAGTGACAAAACCAATAAAATCGAAAACCGATAAAATTGAAAATCGATACTCGAACCGACTGAAAAAGTCGGTTATCGGTTTATTACATATTAAAAGAGAAGTCGGTTAATCGGTTAACGGCCGATTATTTTAATCGGTTATCGGTCGGTTAACCAAAAACCGAAGTAGAGTCTACTCCATATAAACATTTGCATGAACTTCATGTATGCAAATGTGATGCACAATACCGTGAATGTTTTTTGAGTGGGTTATTCACTTTTGCATGAACTTCATGTATGCAAATGATCATTTGCGAGCGGGTTGCATTTTCAAACACTACTACAATTTAAGACCTAACGTAACATTGAAGATGTAACATACTTATAAAAGTGTTACATTTTTCTCTAATGTAACACTTTTTAGACCTAATGTAACACTTTTTAGACCTAATGTAACACTTTTTAGAAGTATAAATGGTACATTAGGGACTATAAACTTATAAAGTGTCACAACAGGTCAAATGCAACATGAGCAAATGTAATGATAAAAAAGTGTTACATTTTCTCTAATGTAACACTTTTCAGTGCTATTTAACACTTTTGGGTGATACATTATGTTGAAATGTTGTAGTGAAACGATTTTAATCACCGCAAACATTGACGCAAAGATCATATATGAGCAAAAAACAATAGTCATGCACCAAAAATGGTCAAAGACGTGAACCAAATGTGAAATTGGTGCAACACTTGTGGAATCAAAAGTGGAATTTATTCAAAGAGTGTATAGTTCATATGAGTAAATTCCATGTTGCCTGCTTTCTTTGTTATGGTTTGGAATTCGTTCTTTAACAGACAAATTAAGGAGGGCTTGTCTTTAAACTTTTAGGGTCTGATCCTTGACATAGAGTGACGTGTTGCTCAAATGTCTTCCACCACTTGTTAAAGCGTTCAGCCTAATTCATTAGAAATTGCAAGAGAATTGAGATTTAAGAATAATGTATTTAAAAAATGATGATACTATATAACATCCACAGACCTGCTGGCCTAATGAAAATAGTGTTTTCTCCAATCCACTCCAGCTGTGTTTCTCCTGGTCTATGTTGCTTGTGAGGGAAACAGTCTAAATTATACTTTAGTTAGATCCCATTAAAACAGTAATTTAAAAAGATACGGAGTACTTATCTAGCCACTAAACACACGAATAAACACACATTACCCTTTCATATCGTTCCCAAAACTCTCTTCTGATACCAATCATTTTCTCGTAAGTTTCATCGATCATGTCATGCGCTCCATAGATCGAGTTCACAAGCTTGGGATCAAGACTTTGCAAAACCTCTTGACATTCTCGATGTATCTCGCCAACAGGCAACTCCTCTAAACACTGTAAGTAAATAACACTTCACAATTAGTCAGTCAGACAAATAAAATAAGACGATTATGGTATAGACTGCAAGTAGATATGTTCACATTAATTTGGTTGACAATGTGCATCTTGGATATTGAAATATCAAACGGTCTTTCTTGTTCTTCAGCATTTCGCTGCTCTCGTTCATGATTTTGTTCGATGGCTTCAATCTTGTGTAAGATGTTGTGCACGACACCCTTAGATTTGGATTTGTTAATAAAATGAAGCTGAAACGAGAAAATCCACACAAAAACATAGCATTTCAATGACAAATAAATTGCATACTTACATAAGCAGTAAATACTTGAATTGTTTCGGCAAAAATCTCTCTTCAACACAAGGTTTTTATGACAGGTGATAGGGGATTGAAAAGACTTCATATTTGAAGGAAAACATGTGGTTGAAAGCTATTCACAAATCACAACAGAAACAATTAAAGGATATCCAGTAATCTAATTTCTTATTTCTTACAGCAGCTTCCATCTCAAGTTTGAGAGAATGAGTATCAGCATACTCTGCACCAGGATTTCTTGCATCTATAAATTCAGGTTCAGATAGGAGTTCATAATCCATTAGCTTTGCAGCAAATTCAGAATACATCTTCCTCATATCATCTTCAGATTTACTTCTTTTAATCTCCAATATGCCTCCTCCTGTCTTCTGCAACAAAAGCAAAAGCAAAAACAAATTAGGGAGTATGCAATTGGTTGATTCTCAAAATTACAGATCAGGGAGATGAAAACAAGCAACCTCGTCTAGTCCTTGAAGGTTACCATTAAGAATATCCCACAACCATACCATCCTCTCAACGGCAGTAAAGACGTGCACAATAGTATCCTGATCTCGAGCCACTTTGTCTACAAGATCCTGTTTGCAAACAAAAATAAATATCACATGGAAATCGATAAGCATACAATATGTATGTGGGTTTCGACCTACTTGGACTAATGCATCTCTAGACCGCAGATCTGCCTCAAATTCCTTGAGAACCTTTATTTTCGCAGAACATTCGTTGCAGGAACACACCTTGGAAAAATCGAATATGGGCGGAAATAATACACGAACCTCTGCCTCCCATTGTACCACCGTTGCTTTGTATGCCTCGACATCCTCCTTTGAGTCCTTTCGATCTGCTGCCATACTTGTATTAACTGCAAATTTAGTTGTGTTAGATGTATCCTTTACCTCCGGATTCTATATAGATAGGGCCGCCGGTCGTGAATCGGGAGAAATAGTCTCAACCCAGATTGCATTAGGGTTTATATTTTCGAAAATTCCAAAAAACTTTTTTATAAGTTTTTACAAGAATATATTAGGTAGCAGTAGAATAAAACTTACTTCCTCCGATCTTTTCTTTAGTTGCAACCGTCAACATTTCACACGTGTCAACATGGATGGATTTAAGGGGGCGCGGGGTGCGACCGCCCCCGTTAGACTTTCAAAATTTTCTATAATATATATAGTATTTTCATAAAAATTTCATACTTTAATTATATATTCATGTGTTTGCCCCCCTTACCTTTTGATTTTAAAAACTAATATTTAGCCTTACATAATATAATGCATGATTGAAACTTTAAAAGAAGAAACATCAAACATAATTTACATAACTTAAGCAAATAAAAATGGAACAACTCATTGTTTAAGACTTATGGTACTTGTTATATAAACAATCCTAGTTTTGTAATATTTAATTATCTTTATTAGATAGTTAGTACTCGACTTTGTAAAATATCAAATGATATTAAATACGAGACACACTAGTTAAACAATATTTAAATTATGTGAATTGAATCCAAAATATAGGTTCTTGTTGACATTGAATTAAATTACACTACTCATCTGTTTCTTACATTTTAAAAATAATGTATTGCATAGCAGCATCGATAATAAACTTTAATTTTTTTAGCAATATAATATGTATTACTACTTTCGTCCCCCTAAGTTTGGGACAAATGGGTATGGTGTAGTTTTTGAGAAAAAGTAGAATTGCGTGGTTGGTATTGAATTGATAAAGTGTAAATAAAGTGGAAATGAATTATAACCACTCAAATATTACCAAATATGGTATAGGACAAACTTAATGGGACAGACGAAAAAGGTAAAATGGGACAAAGTTAGAGGGACGGAGGGGGTATTATTTTAAAAATAATGTATTGCATAGATTATATGCACCATATATATGTATTACCAATATAATATGTTGTATTATTTTAAAAATAATAATCTCATACATATTAGTATAATATTAAGAAAACTCCCTGTGACTCACGAACACCGTCCTTGGTAGACAAAAATTGCAACTCAAAACCAAATCTTTACTCCGTTAAAGTTTATGTGGTTAAACAAGGCAAACGTTATTTAAAAGGTATTGGTCGATGTGTACCTTTTAAACTTGTTGTCTTCAAATAATTTGATAAAATGTTGTACATCCCTTCTTATTTTCAAATATTTTTTCTTTGATTTTCTATTTCTTACACTTTAATGTATCTGTACTTTTGCTAGAGCACTTTAATTATAAAATCAAAGTTATCTCTCCATTGTTTAGATTTAGAATGTACTACTAATAGATTTAAAGCTTAAAAATGTCATTGTGTATGTAATAATGGAATTTTTGGAATAAAAACTAGCCGCATAGCCCTATAGTATAAAAAACAATTCGCCCGCTACATCAGCGAAAATATTTTCACCTTGACACTAACGGAAAAAATTCGCCCCCCTTGACGCAAAATCCTGGATCCGTCCCTACTTGTCAACGCACATCTTTGACTGTAATTATATCTTAATCTCTATTAGTAAAAAAAATATTAAAATAAGATTTTGAAAATTTATAATGAGATGAATTGAACAATATTATCTTTAAAAAAAAATCATAAAATAATAGAGTAAAATGTAGTCAAAAAAGAACATGTGAATAGTGTAAAATTCAACATTTTGTGATTAAAAAACAGAGGATAGTATTACATAAATATGACTATTCATTACTACAATGTAGTGTTGTAGTAACTTAAGTTCAACATTTGAACATAAATTACCATGATTTCATTACTATTCTAGTAACTAGTCATGTTTTTGTAAATTATCTTAATTTTGGTCATATTTATGTAATTAAATATGACGAATTTACGGGCAGTTTTATAGGATTTTTCAATTTACGAGAAATGGTAGCTTTGACATCCGAAATATATAAACCAACAAATACACACACATGAATATCTTATTTAAATATTTAATTAATAGTCCACCCCCTCCCATCCAAAATAGCTTATGTTGTAGTAGTTTTAATTAATAGTCACACCTAAAACGACGTCACTCAAATTAAAGTTTTAATTAAAAACAATATTCACCATTCCCATGCATGGAAAGGTAAGCCGCTTTACTACAAATGCAATACTAAGTAGCGGCACTTGTAAACTCTTAAAACTTTGAGTCCAATGTAAACAATAAAGGAATGTAACTCGCGTTTATTACAAATGTATTTTGTTTTGTTTTCATCCTTGTAATATGCATTATTTTACTTTTAGTCCATCTCTAATTCTGATGTCACTCTACCTATTAAAAAGTTATTGTTTTTTGGAAAGGAAAAGTTATTGTTGGTTGCATAAATTTACTAACAATTTTTTAATTTACCCTTTTATATTTTTTAAGGCTAATATTGAGAGTTCAAATACTGTAAAATTAATTATTCATATTCTTAAAATATATATATTCAAAACTTCCTTCACACTAAAATTATACACAACCTAATGTGAAATCTATGAGTAGGGATGGACCCGGGCCGGTCCGGTTCCGGTTCCGGGCCGGGCCCGGGCGGGCTTTTTTTCGGGTTACATGGGCCCGCAACCGGCCCGGGTTGATACCGGGTCCGGGCCTAACCGGGCCGGGCCGGGCCCGGTTCAATGTTTTTTTTTTTTTGACTTTCTTGTTATCTCCCTATCCCCCCCCCACGCCCCAAACCTCCCTAAAACACCCAGCACTACCCTAGGAAAAGAAAAAAAATTGAAAAAACCAAAAAAAAAAAATGAACCGGGCCCGGCCCGAACCGCCCGGGCCGGTTCAACAAAAACAGGGCCCGGAACCGGCCCGCCCGACCCGCCAACACGGGATAAAAGCCCGGAACCGGCCAACCGGGCCCGGTCCGGTCCGGGCCCGCACAGTAGCGGGCCGGTCCGGTTCCGGGCCGGTTCGGCCCGGCCCAGTCCATCCCTATCTATGAGTAGGTAGTGTGGAGTGTGGACTATGGTTATTAAAAATGATTTTATGTTTGTTGATATTGAATTTATAAAGTATGATCAAATAGGTTTAATTAGGTATGGAGCCGAGTCGATTCGGGTAGCCGGGTAGGTGTGGTTCTAAAACATTGAAGCCCGGTACTGACCTGGTTTGGTCCGGTGCCGATTCTAGACTGGGTCCAAACAGTACTGTTCCCGGGTTGGTCCCGGGTCGATACCCGACCTTTATTTTTTTTTAAAAGTAGCCGTTGGGACCAAAACTGGGCTCGAGACCGGCCGGCCCGGACCCAAAAATTCAAGCCCGAGCCCAACCCTTTTCATACCACAGTTTGGGTACTGGGCCGTTACCGGTATTGGAAAATCGGTCTCGAGCCTGTACTAACGGTATCGGTCCCAGGTCGGTCTCGGGTCGTGCCGCCTGGACCCAGTCTATCTTTATGTTTAATCCATCAATCTCTAATATATTCATCAACGTCAGGTTTTGCTTCTTATTTTCTCGATTTCGCTGGGCATCCAGTGTGTTAGTTCACGGGCTCGTTCACCGTCGTCTGGTCTGGCCGTTCGGCTCTTCCGTGGCCGTGTTCTTTTGTGGCCGTGTTTCTTGCTTTCGCTTCAACTTTGAGTATATGTTTGAAGTTTTGGGCAGTAGTTGTGTTGATCTTGTTGTTGCGGTTTTGATCTTCCGTGAAGTGTGCGGTACTTGTCTAGTAGCTATTGTGTTTTTGGGGTCTGTTGATATGAGTGGCTTAATTCCTTTGGAGGTGGCTGGACAAACCTCTTCTAACTTCCTGATGGATAGTCAATTCGGAATGCTGTCTTTGGAGGTGGTGGATAAAACCTCTTCTCCCTTACTGGTGGCTGGTGAAACAAGAGAGTCTATTGATTATGAGGCCGATCGCCCCCCTCCTGAACCACCGCCGATCAAGGAAGATGAGGGTGAATGGATTGCTTTCTTTCCGATGGTTGGTAAAACCGGAAGTCCGGAACCATTTCTGCACTTGTCTCCTTACCAGTGGCTGGAAAAACCGGCAAGTTTAACAAATCCTTTTTTGTGGCTGGTCAAACCGGACCTATTTCGAGTAGCACGAGCAGTTAAATTGCGGGACGAGTCTACATAATTGCAGGGTTAGCGAACATAATAGCTTTTTTATAGCTTTTTTATTCTTTGTCTCACCCTAGTGTAGCATTGAACGCTGTGATTATAATTCTTCGGCTTTTGATTGTTATGTTTCTGGTTACCCTTATCAATAATAATTAAGTTATTTGATTTTCAAAAAAACGTGTCTGCTTTTGAAAATCAGTGCTAAAATATTCAGAATGTTGCTAGTTGGGAGTTCATGTGTAAAAAATGAACTAAAAATTTCTTGAACACATTCACCATTACATAAACAAAATGTGTCATACTTGCCGCCCCTAAAAATGTATGTAAGCCTAAAAATATTATAATTTATTATATGCACCTTTGGACCCCTAAAACAGAAACAATTCAAACAGCAAATATATCAGTCAATTCAGGTCAAGAACCAGTTTACTTCCTTAGCCGGACCGGTTCTTGTCCGGTTTTGAACCATGTCCAGCCCTCATCACACAGCACCATATTTAGGAAAGAGAACTCTTCTTAAACTTCGATCATCCTGAAGAAGTGAGAAAGATGAAAAAAATACTGATAGATTACAACCTACTCTGAGAGAAATGTATTCAAACCCAAAAACACAAAAACAAAACAAAAACTATA